CAGCTCAAATTAACCGACACAATCCAAAAAATTAAACGCTAAAAACTCATTTACGGAGTAAAAAGTCTTACTCAAAAGTAAAGTTTTTAATTTGCAGAAAAACTTGTTGTTTTCAAAGTTTTTAAATTGTGCAGGTAATTTATTGTATAAAATTGCTCCAATATAATATGGGTTAGATTCATACAATGTCATAGAATGATTGCAATATTGTAAATTGTTGCCATGTCTGGTTGGATACTTATGATAACAATTTTGTAAATTAAATTTGTTTAAGTTTATTTTAACAAATTTCAAAATTTCAAAAATAAATATGGAAGAGAGTGTCATAATTTTAATTAAAATTAGGAACAAAACTAAAAATGTATTGCAATAATATGGCATTTTATTTAACAACATTTAACATTAAATTAAATAGGTATAAGAATACAAATTTAAAATATAATAGTTAAAGAGTACCCATAATATAAATATAGATAATTAGGTAAATATCAGGTACAGGTACAAAATACACTGGTTTATTTTTATGGCTTAAGCTTTCTTTTTTTAAGTCAAATTACGAACAGTGGGGTAGCCTGTTGCTTCACCCTCTGGAATGGATGAATCCATTTTAATATGTTGAACTAAAAAATATCAAAATAATATATGCACAATAAGTTTTAGTAATTTGTTACCATAATCATTTATCTTTGTTTCTTTAACTTGTTCATCATTCACAAACTACAACTTAAATACATTCAATAATTACATTATCATTAAGTGGGATATCGACAGTTTCTTCTACTTTTTCATCATTCGTAAATCCAATGCATTCGATTATTACATTATTACTCTGTGAGATATCCATCGTTTTTTCTACTTGAATGATAGTAGTCATCGCACTTTTACAAGGAGCTCCATCATATTCTATTTTATTTTCTTTTGTTTTATCATAGCTTTTTGCATCTGTATTTTCCTCTACTTAAACTTGGATTTCATGAATTGCAATGGCACTTTTATTTTGTAGTTTTTTTGCTCTATACAGTTTGTTATAACATTACAATCAATGGGATCGTTACTTTTTATTAAATTGTTTTTAAAATTGCCCTTCAATATTTCATCTTGCCCTTCTTCCCAATGCTTTATGACAGATTAAATAATTTTTAATCTCTCACGAAAAACTGGATACCTTACTACATAACTAAGCCATTTTTTTGCCTTGATTGCCGGCATCGGAGCAAACATTGATTAAGCAACAGGGCACCGCGGCGGCGGTATCCATTCGTTTATTTTTCACACCGTTGCCGGCCCTGGAGGCACGGCCAAATTATTATATTAATATAAACTCTTTGGTCTATAATAAAAGATTAAAAAAAAATTGTTTAATCCTATAAACATCTGCTCTGTTGCACAGTTATCAGTATTTCTTATTACACTATAAGTTTAATAAATACGTACACGCAGCACAACTTGTTTTATTTAGTTCGGTGGTACATTGCACATGAATGAATGGTACGCGAAAAAAGTTTGAGAACCGCTGCTATAGAGCATAAAAGTTTTGGTTAGAGGAGCACAATAGCAGGAAAAAATCCTGTAAACCTAAGACTATATCTTAAGTATGGGGATTTCCGTTAAAATTGAGATTTTTTACACTACACAGAAAAAACGCTAGCATAGCATGAATGGGTGAGTCATTAAACCAATCTGATCTTGTAATCCGTATTCCTGAATAACAGTTCCTATAATACCAATAGGTTGTTAGCACTTGGTTTATAATCGTTTACTGTTTTTAAATTAACAACAAAAGATATCGCTCCTAAATCTATTGATATTCATATTGATATTTATTTGTTAGAATGTTAGAATGTTATTGCATTAAATACTAATTTGATTTATTTAATAACGTTACTATTGTATATATACTATGTATACATTTAACGCAATAAATTCTTTGACATTTATGCAAAATATTTCCCTATTATAATATATGGTTCAATAGTAATTAACAGCAAATAACAATTTAGATTGCTTCAATTTTAATGCATTCAGTGACAGCGCTACTATTTTAGATTTTTTTATGAGTAATAAGTGAAAATGCATTTTAGTAACTTTTATAGTATAATATTACTATATACATTAGGGTGGTCCTTATTTATATAAGAAAATTTTTTGTTGTAAAATTTGGGCAGTCTCACCCCTTAAAAGTTTTCTAAATAGGAATATAATAAGATGTGTAAAATTTGAGCCCAATGAATCAACTCAAAGACGTGCCTCAAGGGTCTTGTTTTGGGGGAAGATTTATTTTTTCATTATTAAAGAAAAAGCAACAAAGTTATAAATTTATTTAATTTATTAAACACAAAATATGGTAAAGCAAATCAAAAAATTATAAAAATCCTTATGTAAACAAACAAATATAATCTAAACTGTTAATAAAAGTGCCGTTTTACTACTGCTTGTAAATTTATTACGGTAGTCCAAAAGGAAACTGTTTCTGATCTTCCTTTTTTGTTAAAATAATGTTAAATTCTTCCATAAGTTTGACACCTCTTTCGGCCGTGTCATTGACAACTTTAAGCTCTTTGATGATCGACAATCCCTTTTGAAAATCATTTCTAGAGTTTCAAGTAGACGGATTGTACTTCAAAAACTCACACCCAATTTTAAATCGTTTAAAAAAGGTGGTAGTATTTTTTAACACGAGACATTGTAGCGGCTGGTTGATATAAGTGACAACATCTTTTTCTTTAAGTATAACACGTTTTATATTCTGGGAATCTTCCTCGTTGCCCTCATCTCCCTGAATTGATTTTGCAAGCTCAATTTTTGTTTCAACCGTAACGCTTTCGTCGAAAAGCGCCAAAGCAATTAACTCTGTTAAAGATGGCCTCAAAGTGTTTTTATAAGCAAATAAATCTGAAAAATTAAAGTCTTGCAGTGGTGCTTTCGCAGCTATAGGGCAACAAAACCACGCTTTATTGTAAAGGCTGGTAAGAAAAATACAAATATCCTTAAGGCATTCAATTTCATGCGACGTTAGTTTAAACTGGCTCCTGAAGAGGAATATTTTAAAATAGTAAATAGCGTTTGCCATCCATCTGGCATGACGGAAGGCTCCTGGAATACGAAAAGATACTTGACCACTTAGAAATAATATCGGAAGTTCTAATAACTCCTTGTAGTCTTTTCTAGGATGATGTATTTCTAGCTGGTTGAGAGAAAATTGTAAAATCACCTCAATTTCTAATCCTAACGTTCACATAGTCATCTCGAAGTCCGGACTCATAACGTGTTAAGTCGATTTGGCTCCAAGCCTGTTGATATCACCTTTTAAAGGCACATTTTAAAATTAGTTCGTAGATGTGATGCCGACAAGGTATAACAAATCTTTTTCCAATTTTTGTACAAGAAAAACGCCAGCGGCATTTATTCGGCCAGTGTCTGATGCCGTAGTATCGCAACAAAAAGCTTCAACGCTTTTACTTAGTTGATATTCTTCAAGAAGTTGATGTCATCTCTTCGCCTTTTCCGGATTCAAGTTTTGGAACACCAAGGATATGCTGTGTACCATTACAGGTAACAATAACAGGCAAACGGTCCACTTTTTTTTTACCAATTATTACGTATACGTACTTAGTTGATATTCTTCAAGAAGTTGATGTCATCTCTTCGCCTTTTCCGGATTCAAGTTTTGGAACACCAAGGAGATGCTGTGTACTATTACAGGTAACAATAACAGGCAAACGGTCCATTTTTTTTTACCAATTATTACGTATAAATTTGTTCTTAATTTACGCTTGCAAGCCAACCAAAAAAACTGTGATGATTTATACCTAAAATATACAGCTAAAAGAAGCGCCAATTAACGATATTTACCAATTACGTACTGCGGCATGTCTCGCCACTACGACTTCGCGACAGATTCAAATACGTGGATTACCATAATCCAACATTATAAATAAGTTTTTACGCTTACAAATACTTAAAACTATTTTGCGGCGGCACAAAAATCGTTTATCTTATAATATTCACTTTTGGAAATTTTTGACCTACGTGAGGCACGGGTTAACAACATCTGATCAGCCTAAAATTTGACAGGGCTTTATGTATGATCAAAAGGAAAAAAATAAGGGGGTGAGACAATTGAAATTCAGAATTCGAAAAATAAGGACCACCCTAATATACATATATACTATATATAGTAATACTATACTATAGTTAATGATTCTTACCAATTAATAACTTTCTTTCCTCTTCTCTTCTCTTTAAATACTTTTTGTATGAAAATGCCCTCCAATTTTTCTGAAAATCTGTAACTGCCTTTTCCATTATTTCCGGATCAACAGGTGGCGGGGCTTTCCCAGGGGATACTTAAATAAAAGTATATTATTAAAGTTTAATAACGAGATTTTCATTATACTTGAGGCAAGCTTTTTCTTTTTTGTAATTTCTTTTAAGATTTCGCCAAAATAAACTCGAGCTGATCTTGCACGCTCCATTTTCTGTATTATTCGAACAGCTAAATTTTGTATTGCTTTTTTTTGTTGTTCTGATATTTCCTCTTGAGTTAACACCTTTTCTTCCGTCGCAATATTTTTTTTTGGACTGCAATGGGTTAATTTTATATAATAGGAATTTTTAAATTTAATATTTAAGTAAAAATCAACATTATACGGTTGTTTTAAAATAGAAATAGAGTTAATAAATAAATCCTAATCTTTGTTAACTAACTACTATCACAGGGTCCGACGTGACCAGGCATTTTATTTTTTGTTGTTCCACTTTACATATTTTGGCTAGAACGCTTACCGATCTTGGTATGATTAAAAAAAATATATTTTTGTTTGTGCTTCTTAAATTATCATTATTAATTATTATTATATTATTATATTATTGACCAAAAAGGGACAATGATTGAACAAAAAATTAAATTTGTTTATCAGCCGTTTTTATTTTGGCTTCACTTTTAACCCCCGATAGTAGTTATGTTAGTTCAAATGAGCGATAGAAGTTAGTACGGGTTGCTACCGTTGTTTCTTTTTTTTTTCTTTTTCTTCCTTTTTAAGTGGGGTTGGAAGTTCCCCTTTATTATCTTTATCTTCAATCGTTGTTCCTGTTCTTTCGTCCCCCCTCCTATTTTTTCCCTCCTTTATATGTTCTACATTTTCTTCTTCTTCATCCTCCTCTTCTTCATTAATACTAATTTCAGATTCCTCATTAGATTGTATATGGTAGTCATTTAATTCACTTTCCTTTTTGAGCCTATCTTCTTCTTCTTGAGATTTTGTAAGTTGTTCGAGTTTTAATTGCTCAGCCACAGAATCAAACAAAATTTCATGTTTCTATAAGGTAAAGGTAAATACACGGCCAGTTAATTTAAATTTAAAACATTATTTTTCCTCGTTTTTAAGATATTTAAAATTTTTAGTAAATAAATAATTATTATTTTTATAAAATACAAATTTCCTATCATGCGTATTCTAAATTTTGGGGCTCATTATAGCTCCTTTTTTAAACGCTTTTATCCTAATTTTTTAACTTTTTTATTACGATACATTTTGTATTACCTTGTATTTTTTATACATATCATCAATTTTTGTGGGTCTGGGAAAAATAAGTGATGTATGTAACATTTCAATGTAAGAGGGAATAAGTTTTTGTTCAATAAGGGAGCCATCGACATTAACAAATTCTGAGAGATGGATTTTTTTCATTTGTTCGTTAAATTCAAGTAATCTTATGGTAGCTGCATCTACCAACTTTTTTACTGTAACTCTTTTTTGGGGCTAAAATACAAATGGTACCATAATATATAATAATATATTATATTAGGCATAAAACCCACTATAGCAATATAAAGTTAGGTTTTTCGTATGTAAATTTGTAGTTTCGATTGGCTAAAAGAAATGGCTACATTAAATAAAATAATTAAATTCTATTGGTGAATAAACTTTCAAAATATTTAAAAATATTGAAACAGAAACAACAATTACCTACTAATATTAAAAAGTTCAATTGTCATAAATAAATTGATTAATATACGTTTAAATAAAAAAGCAATCTCTAATAATTATAATTAAAATATACAAAAAGTTATTATCTTTAATATCGTGAATACTTAAATTATTTAAGTATTTACAATATTAAAAATAATAATTTTTTGTTTATTTTAATTCTAGAAGCACAACAATATTAATTTATTGCCCTAGTACATAATTGTTTATACACGGTGGTTCATACAAAATGAAAAGGTGATCAAGGGGGGAAACTTTTGCGAGAATTTTAATTACTTTGCTTGTATCACAAAACTTTTATCGATTTATTATTAAGATTTTTATAATTTAAAGGTTAAAATAATCGTTTGTATAATTGTTTGTGAAAGCAACATTGTGGACAATAGTTTACGCATTTTTTTATTGCATATTTGAAATCTACGCATGCGAGTTTGTGTTTTTTCTACGCTTCTTAAACAATTTTTAGAATGCTGCAGCGTTTTGAAAAATGTAAGATCCAAAACGCTTCGATGACCTTGAGGAGAGCGCGTGACATCAACATTAACAGATGTGTCAAGATTTATGAATTAAACCAATATTTTTTTCGAGGACAGTTATATATAATACTCTTCAAACTATTTATTTGTTTGAAAATTAAGGCAAAATGTATACTAAAGGTGCGAATTTTTAAATTTTAAAAGTAATTTTATGAACTTTATACTAAAATAAGCTATTTATGGTTTTAAACAAGCAAAAAGATTATAAAGTTCTGTCAAAGAATTTGAAATTTTTGTTTGGAATTTTTATTTTGGCATATGCATCATTCGTAAATCTTAACACACCAATATACAATTTATGTTATTACATACGCTAGCCAGAGAATGTATTCAAGGAAGAATTTATATCAAAAAATATTTTTTTCACCAGTATAGTTGTTTTTATTGACTAAGCCTGTAGAAGTGGTTTTACAGAAATTTAACTTTATTACTGAAAGAGTTGAAATAGTTTTTTTATTTGTCAAATCCTTAAAACTTACTTCACTAGGGAAAAAATGTTTAAGGGCAAGTGTATTGACTATGAAAGCACTCCGTGTAAATAATAATTTATTTATGCCCAACAGAATCATATCCATTTTTAGGACAAATATAACAATTTCTGTTTGTAAAAAAATATATATAATAAAACAAAAATAAACTTTTGTAAGAAATACAAAAAATAACATCAACAATGTTTAACTTAACTTTAAAAAAATGTCGGCTATTTTATCAAGCCTTTATTGAGAACAGGAATTTATGCCACAATGTCGTCACAGTTATGCAGCATAACATATATCGGTTATTATAACCTTATGTTTGTACGAGCTCTGAGACAAAAAAAGTTATTGATGATCTTGAGTTAAGTCTAGGTACAAGAAATGTTATGAAACTAAGTAGAGCCGAACTCTGTGGACGCAATTATTTAGAAATTTGACCAAAAATATTTGAGATTAAATAACTCTTCTTTTTATAAGAAAATATAATTTAAAATGCTGTGGATAGACTCCATGGATATTAAAAAAACGCGCTGAACAAATTCTATTAAATCTATCCTATTATTATGATATGCATACCATATTAGTGATCCATACTAAAAAAATATAAAGTTTTTAAAATATCTATAGATATAATATTAATCAGTGATCCATTCAAGAAAAATATATATTTTTTAAATATATTATATATGGTAAACTCCATGATTTTTCTTAGAATAAAGTCTAGTATTTTTATAGAGCCTGATGTTATCTCATCTATATGGTCGTTAAAAGCACAAGATCCTTTATTGAAGTTCGTAGTGTAAGAATCGCACTATACAAAGTTTATTGGGTTGTTTTTTTGTAAAAGAACATACGTTACATTTGTTAATATATAAAATAGGCAAACCATATCAATCTTTCACAGCTCAGGAAATATACAAGTGAAGATAATTAGATTATAACCTGACATGGATAAGCAAAAGCTTTAGCGCAATAATATAGATAGGTACAAGATTGTCACCCATTACTAATTTTTTTTAATGTTTCAGGTAATTTAGGAAAGACTGACTGGGTGTATTGATAAGTGCCATAGCCTTAAACCGCATAATTTAATTTGCATTATTTAATAATTATTATATAATGCACTCTCTAAAACTGAAACAGTGAAAGTTTCACTATTCAAGATAGTGACGTCTAAATTCACTCTCAAAATGGTGAACTCAAATTACTGTCACTGCCAGAATAGTGAGTCCCCCGATTAAAGCCGTATCGCTAGGGGCGCCTCCCAGCAGTTTTTTTACTTACTATACTTGTCAACCTAGCCAGCACGTTCCAGCGCGTATGAGTATATAATAATAAAATAATTAAACACAATCTTTTATTAGGTAAGTTAATAATATTATTTTAATCATATTTCCATCAATGCAGAGTAAATTATTAATTATATATGTTACGGCTAATGTGCAAACTTGGATAGTTTATAAACTAGCCAAACTGTCAGATATTTGAAAACGTATTTTCAACTAAATTAGCGGCTAGTTTACAAAATAACCAAGGATCTTGGCTAATTTACTTGAAAATATTGGGGAAAATAAAATATCTGGATAGTTTGTATACTATCCAATTCAGTTTGGCTAATTTATTGAAAAAAAGTGAGGTTACGACATTGTTTTTCTTTTTGCCGGCTTAACCGGATTTTTTTTGTGAATTTAACGTTTTTAAAACAAATTAAAATAAATCATAAGCAAAATTTTATTGCTTACTTATTATACCTTTATGTTAAAAAGCCAGAACTCGTTGTTACCGCAGAAATTGTATATGCAGTGCAAACCCAACCATTTCCAGAGTGTTAAATGAATATCCTAGATTATTGGATTATAATATATATATTTTTTTATATATTTTTAGTATCTATTAATATTTGTAATTTTCAATTTCAAGTCGAAGGACCAATTCTTAGGTAAATTTCCAACCTTTTATGCACCTCAAATTTTGGCGTATGTTAAAAAATATCGTCCAACGTTGCACAGGACTTCTCAAATCATTTATGACCGTAAGATTTTTCTTGAAGTTTAAATTACTGATTTGTCTTATAGAAAACTTGCGAGCTTTACTACTTCTCATTGAACTACTCCCAGTGTCAAACGCAAGAAAAACGGTTAAAGGTAAAGGAAAATGTAAAAAAAAGGAAAATTAAAGAAGATTACACTGAATATAAGCTTGTAGATGAGGAAGAAAACAGGCCTTTAAAAATTGAATTTCCAAATAAATTTCAGTTTCCAGTTTTTCTATGTTTTAAACATAAAATACCCAGAAAGCTTACGTAATTTTTATAACTTTATTGAATCTTACGTTTATGAGATGCTTGCGCAAAGCACCGCGCGACGCGTCGAACAAGGTTCTTTTGTCAGCTGGGTGCTTTGCGCAAGCTTATGTTCTGCGATCTGCGACCTTGCTTTATATTGTGTCTTCTGTCCACATAAATATTTCGAATTTTAATCCTAATGACGATGCATGATAAGGAGGATAATGATAAAGCGTTATTTTCTGTTTTAAATGTGTTATTTTTAAAATTTCTTCCCACCTTTTTTATTATATATTGAAAACTTGACAATTTAAATAAACAATAAACGTACTAAATTTTATAATTAACATGTTTCTTATTCATTTCATAGGATTCCTGAGTACTTTTTTGCTTCCCTAATTAATCATGTAAAAATTCCACTATTTTAACTAGTGACTAGGTTACTAATTTAATAAGAGACTAGCCACTTCTTAAATAAGTGAGTAGTCACTATTTGCAGTAGTGATTCGGTCACTATTTCAATAAGCGATTTAGTCACTATTTGAAATAGTGATTATTCACTAAATGACAGTGGTATACTTTTAGGTATCCGGAATTTTGTTCGAAATAAATTTGTTCGAAAGAAAATTATTCGAAGGAAATTTGTTCGAAAAAATTTGATCGAATGGAAATTTGTTCGAAAGAAATTTGTTCGAACGTAAATTTGTTCGAACGGAAATTTGTTCGAAGGTTGTTTAATTTAAGCTCATTTAATAAAATAAAAACAATTGTAATCCTTTTTGAAAAGATATTCTATTCGCAAGGTAATTTATTATTCAAAATATTAAAATAATTGTAATCCTTATTTATCTCTGCATATTGGTATAAATTCCCTTACAACAATTGACAGCCTTAATTTATCTTGCTATTTCTTCGATTGAACATGGCTCTAAATTTTATTAAAAGTTCGAAAGGCAAAAATCTTTTGTCTCTCAACGGTTTCATGTACACTTCCGACAAAGTTAGTGAAGACAGAATTTATTAGAAGTGTGAAAATTTAAAAAAAAATCCTGTAAAGGACGTGCAATTACATCAGGTGAAACAGTCATCAAAGAAAATAACTTTCATAATCGTTCAGGAGATGCAGCAGGTATTGAGGCCAGAATTGTATATGGACCCATGAAGCAAGAAGCAGAAACCGGCCGTGATCCTCCTCATTACATTATTTTTAATATTTCTACTCAATTGAGTCGAGCCGCTGCCACTCAACTTCCTAGTGTTGAAACAATGAAGAGAACGATACGAAATGTAAGGAACAAGAAAAAAAGAAAATATAAAGATGCT